GATGAAGATGCTCTAAGAAACTATCTTAACTCTCTCTCTTCCCTTGTTCATTTTTTATTATATTTTTAGTTAAGATATTTTGTTTAGAAACTCTTAAGAAACTCCAACGTACATAGTAAGCATTGATTTTTCTTGTTTGTCGGCTCTAGTTCTGTTGGTTAACTGATCTTGTCGATTTTGCACAAGAGCATTCGAACTAAATTCCTTCATTATCTCAACAAGCTTCCAAATTAGTATATCCTTGTATGTATAAAAGATATAACTAGCCAAGTAATGTAGTCAGATAATCAAATTAGTGGTTCTCAATTGATGCAAACTGCAAATACTTGATACCGCAAAATTGACATGGTGCATATGGATGCAGCCTTTGGGAGTTTAGTCCAACTTTCAACTTCAGGGACCTAAGATAAATTCTGTTGGATTTTTTTGTAGGTGTTACAAACTTACAATGGCGAACTAGAAGTAAAAATCGAGATCATTGTTGTAAATATGGTTAGTCAAATAATATAGTGAGAGTTCACATTGCCATATTAAAGCTCTACCTACTCATCTACGCCCATTAATGTGATGGCTTTGTGCAGTTGGAACGACAGGAGGCTCACGTTGATAGATACTATAATATTCATTTTTCGGTGTAATGTCTACAGATTAAATACTTGCATAGTGTACATTATCACCAATAAGGCCCATTTCTTCAATGTAAAAACATGTAATAAATAGCATAATCGTGTAGATGCATGGTGAGTGTAATCGATCGGCTATATAACGACTTTGCTAACGTTTACAAGTTGTGTGTTGTAACTTGTAACGAAAACTATTTACAAATTGTAAACGTTAACAAAAAGATAACTTTTGAACGTACATTTACATAAACACTCCGTATGTTTGATAAAAGAATTAAAATATGTTATTCTTTTATATAGACATGAAAATTTCACATTTGCGTTTAAATCAATCAATGTCATACTGAATGTACAACAATTGTGGATGGATTCTAGTTCAACACATATAAACAATGGCGAAAAGATTTTACACTAGAATTATCGTATATATATAAGGAAGGTAAACCCTAACTTAATTAAGTAGCCATAATAACTGTTTGGTTG